CGATCTGACGCTCCAAATGCTTCTGGATGGCCATGCCCAGCACCTCCACCTCCATGGAGGCACCGTACACTTCCCACGTCATGCCCTTCTCGTCCCAGCTCACGTCGCGCACCGGCTCGGCCGCCTCCTGGGGCGCCATGGCGGCCGCCAACACCGAGCCTGGCCGCACCCGCACCTCGGGGAAGACCGGCGGCACGGCGGGCGGCGCGGCGGCCTGCGGGGTCATGGGCCCCGTGGCCACCGAGCGCGTCTCGGCGGCTCCCAGTGACACCTGCAGGCCCGCGTCCCGGCGCGACGGCGGCCTGGGCGCGGGGCTGGGCGCACGCGGCGCCGCCTGGAAGCTGAAGGCCGGGCCGCCCGCGCCCTCCTGCGGGGACATGGGGCTCACCGCCACCGAGACGCAGGCCTGCGCGCCAGCCTGCGTGCCCGCGTCCTCGCGCGGCGGTGGCGCTCCGGCGTCCCACGACGGCGCCTTGGTGAAGTTGTCGCGAGTCCGCGGCCCCGGTGGGGGCGCTGCACCCTCCGCGCTGGGGCTCTTCTGAGCCGCTGCTGCCGCTAGGTCTTTCTGGCTGGTGCTGGCAGAGGGCTCCTGCTCTGGCAAGGCCCCGAGGCTCCTGGTATCTCTCCGGGGCTGGGCTGAGCTGCAGGGTGTACCATCTGATTGCCCGAAAGAGGATGTGGCCTTGTCTGGAGCCTGAGGGACAGTCTTTGCCGAAGTCTGAGACTCTGCTTTTCTAGGAGATGGAGACGCAGAGTCAGCCTTCCCCAGGGACACAGTTTCCAAAGACGGGGTGGGGTCGACGTTTCTGGAGGGATCCGTCTTCTCGGACAGTTGTGGCTGCTCTTTTTGTAAAGACGGAGCTTCCACCTTTCCCGGGGGTGTGGCACCTGGAAGCTGGGTTACGACTTTGACCCCAGATTTGGGCTCAGTACTCCCTGAGACTCTGGTGTCCACCTGTGTGGAGTTCCCGGGATTCCCTTTCTCTGGAGCCTTCAGCTCTGGAACGCCTTCTGCTCTTTCTGAAGCCACGAGATCCACCTTCCCTGGGGACACCAAAGCCGTTTTTCCTGAACTCGTTGGGACTGTTTTTCCCAAAGTCATGGAGCCCACTTCTCCAGAGGGAACAGTTTCTGACTTTCCCTGGCTTGCAGAGCCCGCCTTGCTTAAAGCCAGGGGATCAGCTTTCTCTGAGGCTGGGAGACTTGCCTTCTCCAAGGACTGTGGGTCTCCTTTCCCCTCAGTCACCTCAGCTTTTGCAGCAGACAGGGACTCCCAAGTCCCCAGAGACCTGGTATCTCCTGAACTCGAAGACCCAGGGACCGTCTTTCCTGAAGACTCGGGATTCCCCTTTTGAAATGTTTTTATGTTTCCTGTGATAGTCGTGTGATCCACCTTTCTAGAGAACCTTGGGTCTTCTTTTCCTGAGGATAAGGTTTCTGTTTTGACCAAGGACACACGTTCTGCCTGCCCAGAAGACAAGTGTTCTGGTTTCACTGGGGACACAAGTTCCGAATTTCTTAAGGAAACAGGGTCCACTCTGCCTGAAGGTCCTGTACTGCTTGAAGATGTAGGATCTGTCTTTGCTGGAAACATACCTTCTGGCTGTCTGGCAGACACTGTTTCTGTCATTCCCACAGACACAGGCCCAGTCTCTTCTGAGGAGACAGGTTCTTTCTTTCCAAGAAACCGAGGGTCCTCTTTGGCTGAGGACAGAGTTTCTGTAGTCCCCACAGCTGGATCTGCTCTCCCCAAGCATACAGGATTCACATTTTCAGAGGTTACAGGAGCCACAGTTACTGAGGAGTCAAGCTCTGTCTTGCCTGATGATCCTGGAGTTAGCTTTCCAGAGAACCCAGGATCTGTCTTTTTTGTGGATGCAGGATCTGCCTTTTCTGGGGATTTCATATCATTTTTCCTCAATGATACAAGATCTCCCTCTCCTGTGGATGCAGGGTGCTCTTTTCTGGAATTCACGAGGTTTTCCTTTTTTGGATCCATTTTGCCTGAGGATATAGCCTCTACCATTCTTAAAGACCCAGCATTCTCTCCTCCTGGGGACACTATATCCACTTTGCCAGAACATGCTGTGTCTACTCTTCCCAAGGACCCAGAATCCTCTTCCCTTGGAGCTGTGCAGTCCACTCTTCCCACGGTCCCAGGCTCCCCCTTGCCACAGATCGTAGGCTCTGCTTTTCCCTTCAACATGGACTCTTCCTTCCTCAAGGACCCAGCCTCTTCCTTTCGTGCGGAAGTAGAATCTGCTTGCTTCAAGGAGTTGGAATCCATCTTCTCCGAGAACACAGGATTTCTGATCTCTGCGACTGTGGGAGCAGCTTCTGCTGAGGACATGGGCTCTGGTTTCCCAAACAAAGTTTCAGAGGCTTCTGAGGTCAAGGCTCCATGTGCTCTCACTGTCTCTGGGAGAGGGCTGCAGGTAGGAGATGGGCAGGCTAAGCTCCCAGCAGGGTTCTCAGAACAGGAGGCCCCTTCCCCAACCCCACTGGAACTGCTGTGTCTGGAGTCCATGCCTAGGCTTTGGTCAAGGGTGTGCTTTGGGGGTGCAGGGATAGGCTTTGGAGAAGAGCAGCAGTCCCTCATGACCGGGCCTCCAGTGCCCAGGCTCCCATCCTGTGGGGAGCAGAGGGATCTTGGGGAGCTGGAGTCCTTCCGAAGTAGGTGGAGCCAGACTGGGTCTTTAGGACCAACCCTCTACCCTCACTGCCATGTTTGAGCTCAGGACAGTTGTCTAGTTCTGAAACAAAGAGAATAGATTTAGGCTTAGGAGATATTCTGGGGTGGGGTGGGGGACAACTCAGTCTGTTCAGCTTCTCACTGGATTCTTTGTCCCCATCTGGTCCCCTTGTCAAGAAGGTATGAGCTAAAAACATAAACCCAATCCTTACAGTCCCCTGCTTCATCACACCTAATAGCCATCCAAGAAGCCAACACTCCCAGCACTTGGGATACTGAGGTAGGGGATTTTCTAGTTTGAGACCAAGCTGGGCTATTCAGTAAGACCAAACCCTCACAGAGAGACAGACAGACAGATAGACAGACAGACAGACCCTTCACAACATGGTGACAATCTGACTTTTTAACTTTACTGCCATTTCCCTATTCCATCTCACTTCTTGCTTCCAAAAGTGACGTATTTGTCTTCAAGCCTGGTGGCTGCAAACCTGTGATGTCACCAGGCCAGATGGGTCATTTGAGTTGGGGGAACAGAGGGAGTGGTGTAACTATGGCAAGTGGTAGAGGACATGGCTTTTCCAAGAGGGGCTGCGTGCTGCTCTAGAGCAATGAAACCTGGAACTGTGGGAGCTTTTCTAGTGTCTTAGGAAGAGTGAGAAAGCTGGACTTTGGTGTAAAATATGCTAACTAATTCAAGATTTAAATTAAAAACCCCAAACACTATGTGAGCTAAAGAAAACATGTCTGTAGGCCACCGGTTTATGTCTGTGTAGGCCCTGGGGAGCTGTGAATGGTCTGTCAGGGAGAGGACATACTAGTCGTGTACTTTCAAAGACTGCTCTGAGACAGTGTGGTGATGGGGCTGAAAGGAGAGAGAAGCTAGCCGAGACCCAGCAGGAAGACAGCCAGACTCTCACTGAGTGATCCCTCACTCATTCTCTGAGCCCCTTTTATACAATGGGCCCTGGGTAGCTACCCTGAGTGATCTAGGTGGGAGACTACCCTGAAGGCAGAAATAAGAGCTGAAGAACCAGTGGAAGGTAACTGGCTGTGGTGAGTGACAGCAGGGGCGGGGGTGGCATGCAGAATGCTGGGTAAGTGGGGATTGCAGGGCTACAGTGCTGGCCTGGAGATCTGGGGTGAGAGGGGACTCTGTTTAGGATGAGCTGAATTCTTGATGTCTGGAGATCATTAGGGGAGAGGGTCCAGCAGGCTGTTGGACCTAGGAGAAACTGTCATGCATTATTCATGCAGCAGCCCGAATGAGCAGAGCTGGTGATTGCCCCTTGCCTGCATCCAGACCCTCTCACCCATGCTCAGGCCAGAACTCCTAGAACATCGGTGTTCAATCTGTGGGTTGTGACCCCCTTGATGTTACATATCGGGTATCCTGCATATCAGATATTTACACTGTGATTCATAACGGTAGGAAAATTACAGTTATGAGATAGCAATGATGATAATTTCATGGTGGCGGTCATCCCAGCATGAAGAACTGTATTAAAAGGTCAGAGCATTAGGAAGGCTGAGAACCGCTGCTCTTGCGTGTCTCTTGGCTTCACACACTGTGAACCTGCCATCAGCAAAACAGAATCAGTCTGCCTTCAAACCATATCTAGAACCTGGGTATAAGGCCCCTCATTGCTGGCTCTGTTGCCTCCTTTGACCCTTGACCCTTCCTCCTACTATCCTCCCTCCTCTGCATGTTATTTTAGCTCAGTGGGCTATCTCATGGTTCCTTGAGCATTTCCCTGCAGGTGTCTCCATGGCCTACTCTCAGCTCATCCTGTATAAAACAGCCATCTCCTATTCTGGCTGTCCCTCTCCATCCACCTTGTTCAATTTTTGTTTGTTTTGTTTTGAGACAGGGCCTCACTGTATAGACTGTGTGCCTGGCTTGGAACTCGATACATAGACTATGCTGGCCTCAAATTCTCAGAGATCAGCCTGCCTCTCTTTCTTCAGTACTGGGATTAAGGGTACCACACCCAGAATTGTTTTTTTTTTTTTTTGTTTTTGTTTTTTTTTGTTTTTTGGTTTTTCGAGACAGGGTTTCTCTGTGTAGCCCGGGCTGTCCTGGAATTCACTCTGTAGACCAGGCTGGCCTCGAACTCAGAAATCCTCCTGCCTCTGCCTCCCAAGTGCTGGGATTAAAGGCGTGCGCCACCACTGCCCGGCCAGAATTGTTTTACTGAGTTTAAAATCCAGAATGCTTGTCCCTGCCCAATCTGTCATAGGTATGTATTCACTGAACGCTAGCTCCATGGTGGGGCACACCTGTAATCCCAGTGTGCAACAGAAGCAGGAGCTTGAGCTTCAGGCCAGCCTGGGCTTTATAGCAAGACTTGGCCTCAGAACAAATCATAAACCACACACATATGCACACATGTATGCTTGTGCACACACACACACTGACACACACAGGTACACAGAAATACACACACAGAGACACATACAGAGACACACACAAAGACACACAGACACACATGCACTGACACACACAGACACACACACAGATACACACACAGACACACAGATACACACAGATACACACATACTGACACACACAGGTACACAGAGATACACACACAGAGACACATACAAAGACACACACACAGACAGACACACACACTGATACAGACACACAGAAATATACATATACAGACACATACTGAGACACACACACAGACACACAAACACATACAGAGACACATACACAGACACACACAGACACACGCACACTGACACACACAGACACACACAGAGACACACACAGACACACATACACACACTGACACACACAGACACACACAGAGACACACACACAGACACACATACACACACTGACACACACATACATACACAGAGACACACATAGGTACACAGACACACACAGACTGATAGACAGACAGACAGACACACACCCCTAAGCGATGGGGACTTCCTTGCTCTCACCCACATAGCAGAATCAAGAACGACCAGCACACACATGGAAAGTCAAGTCCTGGTCCACACCAGCTCTGTGAAGGACTGAACGACCCTTCTAACACCAGAGATCTCGACCCAGACCCTTCTTACTCTTGTTGGGACATTAAATCAGCTGTGACCTTTTGGGGGGGGGGATTTTGTCCATCTCTACACATATCCACAAGACACACAGTGTTTTAGCCAGCAAGTCCCTCCCCTTCCAGGGATGTTCCTGCAGACACACTGATGGTACATCAGGGTACATGAGAGCACCTGGGGGTGAGGAAATCAGGAAGAGGTGAGGGTGTGTGAGACACTCACATGGACAGCCACAGACACTAGATCATGTAGAGAGATGAGGAGAGATGCCCAAGAGAAAGTGAGCGAGCAAAGACACGTAAGGACCACATAACCCAGGATTCTAAGTGTGTGGCCAAGGAAAATCATGCAGGAGTTCATGGGATTATTTATAGCCAGACGATTCCAAGATAAAGTCTCATGAAACTTTCATTATGATAGCCTCTTAAAAGTGAGAGCAGGGATCTGAGTGTGGAAGAGCCTTTTCTTCGTGTGCCTCTTTGTGGCGTCTGAATCTGGGTTGCAGGTGCTGTGACAGTGGCTGTGTGTCCTGAGAAGCATGTCCCGTTGGCCATCTTGTGGCAGCCTGAATCTCATGAGGTATATCTAGTACGGTCCTAAACAGTATGGGTCAGCAACTTCCCACAGCCTCTTGATGCAATCAGGAGTCTCAGAACACTTGAAATGCTATTGGTAATATAGCGATACTGTCTGTAGTCCATTTTAAAAGTGCTTATTTTAAATTACATGTAGGTGTTTGTCTTCATAAAGGTATGTGCACAGATATACAGAGGAGGCCAGACACCTCCGATCCCCATGAAGCCAGAATTACAGGCATTGTAACAATGGGTGCTGGGAACTGAACAGGGTCAGTAAGTGTTCTTAACTGATAAGTCATCTCTCCAGCACTACATAACCTTTAAAAAAACAAACAGGAGCTCACTCTAAAATAACCGTAACAAAGAACTGTGCTGCTCAGCGGTAGAACAATTGTTAGCGTCTCAGCACTATAAGAAAATAACAACGGCTGGGCGGTGGTGGTGCACGCCTTTAATCCCAGCACTTGGGAGGCAGAGGCAGGCGGATTTCTGAGTTCGAGGCCAGCCTGGTCTACAGAGTGAGTTCTAGGACAGCCCGGGCTATACAGAGAAACCCTGTCTCGAAAAACAAAAAACAAACAAAAAAAAAAAAAAAAAGAAGAAAAGAAAATAACAAAACAGCAGCAGCAGCCCGGGGATCCCTAAACCAGGATCCCCACCATTTTTGATCACAGTCAGGTGACATCCCGGTGTGTCACACACCTTCTGTGTCTATATAGGCCTGGCAACACAGTAGATTTCTTACTATTAACATTACCACAAACAGGAGATGGAGACTTGTACTGAGACTTTAGGAGGTGGTGGTGGTGGGGCTCTCACTCCATTCTGCATGGCTGCATTGTTTTTGAAAAATAGGAAAATAAAATGTTTCTCTGTGAGGGTCAGTCCGTCTCCTTAATGTGCTTCTAAGGCCCATATGCTCATTTCCTTCTTTTGTTGGTATTTATCTTTTATTATCCTTTTCATACCCAAGTGCATATATGCACACACACCCATGCATGTACACACTTGAACACACACAATGTGACTGCTTTGTGCATAACCATGGCTTGGAGTTCTCTCCTGTCTCAGCCCATATACACTCTCTAATGTTGGCATCGTGTCAAAGTTTTAGTTCTCAGCTTACATGTTCCTTCCTCCAGGAAGCCTTCTGTGCCTACCAGCTTCGTGAGGCTCCGTGCCCTCCTCCTACCTCCCTAGCCAGATTTCTGTTACTCTGTGTGTATCCATTTCACCTGGGTTCCTGACAGGACTTCCAATGGAAGTCTCAACTGATACTGTTCATTTCCGGGTCTCCCCCAAATCTCACATCTGCAGCTTGGGAGGATGGCAGTCATCAGAAAGACAGACATACAG